CCTTCTTCTTCTTCTCCCCCTTCTTCTTCTTCTTCCCCTTCTTCTTCTTCTTCTTCTTCCCCTTCTTCTTCTTCCCCTTCCCCTTCTTCTTCCCCTTCTTCCCCGTCTTCTTCCCCTTCTTCTATCCTTTTGATATCTTAGCGTACCTGCTACTGTCGCTGCCCAACGCTGACCCTTAAACCACCAGTACATGGCCCCAGGCAAATTGAGAACAACGAGAGGCTCTCTCCAAAAAGTTCGGGGGCTCCCGGCAACCAGACCAAAATGGCTGGCGACACCAGCAAAAATGAAAACACAAACGTCACGTTGGTGTTTCAGCAAAGCTTGGCGCACCGGGGGACTCTGGGGGAGTCCGCCTTGTACAAAAGAGGCTCGGATGTACTGGTGGTTTACACAATGGGGTTGTCCCCTGCTATCGTCAGTGTTCTTCAAAGACACTTACGACAGTATCTCCGTACTAGAAACGGAGCGTGAGGGTTCAGTTGCTTGGCCCATTGTTGTCAAGGACGAGTTGGGGGAATGCGGAACCTGGGGGAGAGCGGGCAGTGTCTGGATCTGAGGGAATAAGAATAAAGATTAAAAAGGATGGTGGTGTGGCTGAAGGAAGGACCCAAAGATATGACGGCAGTTCATATACCGAGTGACGTTCAAGCTGACGCCAATTGCCACGATTTTCCTGTTCCCCAACCTTTCATTCTCAAATTCTTGTTTGGCAGTTTGGATTTTCACCAGTGTGACATGGTCCGGGAGTAGTTCATCTGTTTGATAAATTAAACCACCAGTACCTTTCCCATATGTAGGCCAAGGGGAAAAATAGAGTAGATGTGTTTCTAGACGGATGAATGGGGGTTCTCCCGCAGTGGCCCGTTCGTTCATCATTGTTGCGGCTTGTTAACCGCCGCGACTTTCAGAGTTACTGGTGGTTTAAATGTCTTATTGCCTCCTTTGTCTTTTGTTCAGGCAGCTCGAACGGAGGCTTGTCATATTTCAGGGGATCAACAGCTGAGATTGGCTGGTGGATGACACGGCAATGACATTGAGGGCAGGACCTTGACCTTTCGATGTCCGGTGGATATACCAAAGTGTGCCGCCCAATTGTGACACATTCATTCCCTTTTCCACGGAATCGGCTGTCTGTCCAATTGAAAGAATTACCTTTTCTTTTTTTTAAATAAAAACAGAAACATTTTTGGGAGCATCAGTCCGGTTCCTATGCCGCCATCAAGTCAAAAGAAAGTACATGCTATAGCAGCTATACACACTCCAATTCTCCCCATTATGGTTGGGAGGCCTGAGAGGGCGGCATTGATTACTTCCGAATGGAATGGAAGGATTTACCAACCCTCACCCCTGCCTAAGCTAGCCTTATTAGTTAACTTGTATGGCCCCCTAATTCAGGTTCCCTCCCTAGCAGGACAGAGAGGAACCATGACGTGTTTGCTAACTGTTGCATGGTCCGAAATTGGCACGGTGCTGAAATGGTCCAAAATTCTTCCGTGTTCTCCGGCAGGTATACAATACATTTGCATTTGCTATCTGTTTTGTCTGTTCAGTGAGCTTTTTGTAGTGGAAGGAATATATGTTCTTTCAAGACTGGAAGGTCGACGAGAGAGCAGCATGTTGAAAGCATCTGAAGAACAGAGGAGTGGCGACGGTGGTATACTCGACTTACCTGGGCACTAGGGTGACGGGGAAAGAAGGGGTATGTGGTGCTCATGAGTTAAATAATGTTCATAGCCATCGATGCATTATCCTCAGTGGGTGAGTAATAATAACTTGTCTATCTGCTCGCTGCATATTCTGCTAGCCTTTCTGTCATGTTGTCTGTAATGCCAGCTGCCCGCAGCCTGCAGGACTTCTTTCTTACTGTATCATGCACTCTCTTTGCCTCCTAGCTGAGGACATGCTTGTATGTGCTCTCTCTCTCTCTCTCTCTCTCTCTCTCTCTCTCTCTCTCTCTCTCTCTCTC